AACGCCTTTATAAACATCAAATTTAGAAACTCAATTGAAGAACGAAACTTTTATTTGAACAGACAAACTTCAAAGTAAACGAAGCCACCATTCTACCGGAACTTTCTTAATGATTTAAAGAGGACAAACAATAATCAATACTTAATCTACCCAGTTCAAACATCAACCGACGCTACCTAATTACCGTTAATCCGACTCGAAAACTGAAAGCAAAATGTCTTAACCCACTTTCGGGTATAATATCCCCTTCATTGCTGTTTCACGCGAGATAGTGTGATGTGTTAAGCTTAAAACATGTAACAGTGTTTCTCGTAAACAGATTTGAGTTCGGTACCTTGTACTGCCTCCCCACATTTGCTTGCAGACAAGTTTGTTGAATGCTTTCTCGTGTTCCAGCTATTATCGCATCAAGATACTTGTGCGTCAAAACGTGGAGACACTCTTGTTGTACGCTGTTATTGTACGGTTTTATTTCTGTTGCTAAAGGTGAATTTGGTGGTTTATTTTTGTTGCTAAGAAATGTTTCGTCAGAACAAAGATAATGAGACGCAGCATTATGTTTTATTGTAGCTGTAATACACGTTACACTTTTAACATTAACATTCACACACCTTTACTTACTTACTTATTTTTTTTCTAATTTTTTATCTATTTCTTCTTGATCATTACTAAAATAATAATTGTAACAGATTTAACACACAAATTCCTTTCAAACATCCGTCACTCCTCTTGAATAAATCGCTGAGAACATACTAAACCAATTCTACCGCTCAGAAATCACGCGTTGCCATGAATTTCACAGACAACATGCTCCAATTACCGAGTTCCTTATACGATATTCAGGAAACATAATTACGGTGGGTTGATTCCGTCACTCAGGAGCAATGCGCACACGACGCGCGACGTTAATGGGCCCGGTGTCAGCCTGATGTCTCACCTTGTTACTTATTGCTCTAATCTCGTTAATTCCATGTGACTATGTATGTCAAGTAACTAATACAACTGCTTAAAGTATTAGCAAGTTTTGAGTCACTTTAGGTCGTGTTATTGGTGATTGGTACCTGAATTGTTTCGTGTTGACAATTACTAGTAGTTAGTGTAGAATTATTTTCATTCGAATGTGTACTTTATTAGATATCTGAATCTAAAAGTAACGTGAGGGTTACAGAAAAAGGAAATATTAATGTTGGAAACTTAAAACTTACAAGATACAGTTTGTATTAAATAATGGTAGAACGAGGAAAATAAACCTTAGACAATAAAAAAAGAAAACAAACAAATTCTCCTATCTGTTTGACATTCAAACTCTTTGTGATTTATACATCAGTATCAGAAACCTGCCCTTTGAGTTTACCATCACCATTAATATAAAACTAATGCGTATGCTACACACTACCCGAGTTTATTATCCTTTCTTTAGCAAAATAGGGTGGCGGGAAGTAAATTGTTAGTTCTTCTATGCCCATTGGGAATGCGAAATCCGCATTGAAAAAATAGGGGTCGTTGTCGATTTAGCAGTTTTAAAAGCTGAGTGGTGTTTTTGGGACCTCTATTCGACTATTTCAGAAGGGTTATTTTTAACATTTCGGTTTGGTTTTACATAAATTTAATTTAGCATTGTTGTCATGACAGGGATTTTTATATCATTATATCGCATGAGACATTACCACCAAACATGGGGTCGAATGCGATCTTCAGGTTGGGAAAAATTATTGCCTTTATTTGATTTTTCTGTTTTAAAATCACCTAATATATAAAAAAACTGGACGTCTACCTCTACAGAAAAAAATTCTTCTCTTTTTAACACCATACATTTAAACTTAAAATAGAACACAAAATCCGAAAAGACATATCCTTCAAAAACAAGGTTTTCCCAAAAAAATATTCACAGCAGTAGATATTTTATCATTCGGATAAAATATGAGCTTTGAATAGAATGAAAATGAGGATGAAGTGTGATGTAAAGAGCGATTGTTTGCCGTGTCAAACCACTTGTAAGAGTCGACTCGGGTAGGTTATTATAATGTCGTTTGTGTCGCCTGCAGTCTGTCTGCTTGTAGCTATACTGTATTATATAAAAATTTATCGTGTCTTTCAATAACTAGTTATAATATTTTACTGTAAAATACATATTTTACTTATCACATGATAATTTAAAGGAGCTGAAAATATAAATACACACAACATAAGTACCTACATTTATAGTAGCATACCTAATGTACTTACTCTTTTCAGCTGTTTTTTTTAATTCTGTTAAGAACATTTTGTTAATTGAATTCGTCAAATATTGACTCAATACATTATGTGAGATTCCAAATAAACTGGGAAGTGTTCTTTCGATCTACTCTCAATACAATGCCAAAAACTCAGTGTTTGTTTTATTGGGATCTGTCTAGCTCTGAAACAATTTCTTGCACAATCTCATATTAAAAGCAAGTGCAGTATTTCCAATGACGAGTAAAACAGCATTAAGGGTGATCCTGCATCTCCATAAATATTCGGACATAAATGAGCTTACCTACGGATTTTAAGAGTTTATACTTGCTGATGAGACCATTTCAAATTCAGGTGGCGAGGGTCCTGACCAACGTGGTGGACATAGAATTTTAAACGTAAATGATACCCCCATACATTAAGGGGAAAACATTTTGCATTTTGTAGACAGCGAGTAGACAGTCCTATTTATTCAGTATGGATACATGGATGTATACCCTACGCGAAAATAGACGTCTGCTTTTCAAAACTTCTAAAGACTACTAATGTGATTTTCACAGTCTCATTACTTTTAAGAATATTTAGACATATTACTCTAGCACGCGGTGATGGAATAAAATGTGAATAACTTGAGCCTTATACCGAAATAAAAATATATATCTAAAAATTGCCGTCAACCGAGAGCATTACTCAGTTGTTCAGCCAGCGGGTCAGTTTCAAGCTGATGTTATGATTATTGTTATTACAGAACAAGAAAATTTCTACAAATTATTTAGCCACTATTTTTGCGCTAATCAACTACATAAAATATGGCACAATAAACATCAGCCTGGAACATAACACGCGAGCAATTCACACAATCAATGTGGCACATTCATTAACGACAAGGACCCCAATATAATTACTGATTTATAACCCAACAGCTATAACTTAACGAACACAATAATACAGGGCCCAAACCATTCCGTCTTACGCGACACACTGAGACACGTAGCCTTAGTATTGTACGTAACACGGTTAGGTAATTTCGCTATATGCCTCTAATCCAATTAGCTATTAAGATTCGTGGCCCGAATATTAATTCGCTCCTGATTCGGCCGCTTTGTAAGGAAGCTTGGACTGTGACCTTATGTACAATGGAGGCTTTCATAGGCCGTGGTCACGTGCTGATTGCTATTGTGCCTATCGATTGTGTTTACAGAGATTGTTCTGTATTCTCTTACCGGAAAATACGCCTGGATTTTTTGCCGAATGTAGGGATTGCATGTATGATGTGTGATCCATTTTCTAACTTTATTTGACGACCAATATCGTTTATGCGAAGAAAGGTCGGATAGGTCAACCGATAAGGGCAGACTTTGGACAAACTTGAAGTGAAATATACATTAGGCATTCAGGATTGAGTTAAGTATTCAGTAGAAAACCTTAATCATTCCGAACAATAGAATATTAAAGCTACATTCAAACAAAAGATAAAGTAGTGCTCAAGTTAGTTTTACGTTTTAGAATAGCTGAAATCTAGATAAACAAACAATAGGTTGGACGTTTCGTGACTATTGTAGGGAGGGGAATTAATTGGGGCCATCACTTTGAGTTGTCCCCACCATTTATCAGACAGTTTGAACAAGTTGTTGGGAGCGTTCTGTTCGTTCTTGACGTTTGTGTTCACACGTTTACAGACGATCACGAAACCGTTGAAATTCCACCTTGAATTTGTAGCTAGTGATTATTTATTGAGTATCGCAATACAAACTATGAGGTACAGGAGTAATATTATAGTTTAAGGACTTAATCTTGATGTTATTGGCCCAGTTGAAATATTGTTCAACAACTTTATATTAATTCCGAGAAACTACTACGAGTTAATCGCTCTGTTATTTTCCAATCGATAAGTATAGGCTACTGGTACTAATGTCAGACGTTGATTATAAGGAACGTGTACTCGTCATTGTCAAGAGAACACAAGTGAGCAAGTATAATTTTCTAATGAGTAGATAATAATACTTATCAAAGGATATCGCGAGTTTTTCAAATAAAATATAGCATCGCGAATAATCCAGAATAGATAGACAGAATGATAAATAAATATCATCAGCAAATATCGTATTCTAGACATTGCCTCTTTCTGATAATATTTAATACAGAAAATGACTAAACACCTACATATGTATATACTTAAAAACCTCTAAACGGAATCCCTCTAGAAATTCCTATCAAAATCAAGTTCATTATACTAATAAATAAAGCGTATCCATACATTATCGGATAATTAGCACTTAATTATAATATTAACAGTGATTAATGCAAACATCGGCTGCTAAGATGTTGCTAATAGATCGCGGAACACAGCACTGCCGGAATTCCTGATACGTGTCACTTATGTGCGCGATACTACTAATTAACTAAATACCTATCTACATATATTGTATGTATGTATATGTGTTTCCTAAATGACATTTAGGTAATTGAGCGTTTTCGACAAGCGAGCTCTGTTGCGAGACTGATAATAGATGGATGGTGTGTTATAGGCACTGATTGAGTTGCCTTAGATTTGCTTCGAGTGTCTTGTATGACAATGGTTGGTTATTGTAGACGTGTTGTATAATGTACAATTTATGTTTGTAATTTTGTACATGTATGCTACGTAAAATAGGTATAAGATGATGATAAAAATTAAATGCTGCCATAGCAAAGAAAACATATGTTAAAATTGTTTCTTGAAGTAGAATTTACGACTACTAGTCTAAAATGCATAATAATCAAGTATTTGTCTTTGTCTGTTGCAGATGAAGGGAAAATTCACAAAATCGTGCAATGGAACCGGAACGGTGACAGCCAATCAGCGTTGCTTGATATTTTTGACGTCACTCCAGGAGAACCTATTCAGGTATAATTGCTTTTGATTGGCTAAAATTGTGTCTATTCATTTATTTCATGCGTACAAACGTGTTTTGTTTTATGTTCGTGGCTCATTTCTTTGTTACTTTCAATTGGACGCGACAGGATTACACATATATTTATACGGGTTGTTACAAGGCTTCTCTACTTAACACCGACCGAGGAAAACATTGTGTAACTGTGTGTTAAAAATGCCTGTTTACCGATAAAGTCCCTGGTATATTTTACGAACGTATTTTGTAATAGTAATTTTTGACATAAAATACTACGGATTACATTTAAATAAATTAATTTATTGTACTGAATTCCTTTAGGCAATGGCAATATCTCGCATGCACGGATCCCTCTATGCGGCATCTGATAGGCGAGTACTACAACTGCGATTGGCATTATGCGCGCGACGATACGACGCATGCGTCAGATGCGCACGCGATCCATACTGCGGTTGGGACCGTGATGCCGGTGTCTGCAGGGAGTATATGCCTGGGTAAGTTGAAAATATTTAAATTTTTGATGATAATCAAACATTTTGAGCTTTATAAAAAGAAAGCAAGAAACAAAATTACTAATCCCAATATTATATATAGTGATATTTTTATTGATAAATAGGTGGTATAAATTTTATTATGAATCTACCGCATTATTTTGTTGGGACCGCATAGCGTAGTCAGTATGACGGCACCAAAATCGACTACACCGTAGTTGCTAGCGTAGAACTTGTCTACGCCGTAGCCGGCTACGAAACATACATAGACTTTTAATAAATATTATTTGGTACGTAGCAACAGTAAATCAATTTTAGACATACTTTTATTGGTGTTATTTCTAATTATTCCATATTTCCACAGACTTATACAGGATGTAGCCAACGAAACCGCAGATATCTGCGACTCTTCTATTGCTCGTAAGAGCGTATCAGCGACTTGGGGCCAGAGTCTTCATCTCGGCAGCTTCGTCAAAATGCCAGAAGTGTTGCAGCCGAGAGCAGTCACGTGGTACCATTACTCTAGAGAAAAGGGAAGACATCCAATCACATTCAAGTAAGTTGATTAGACATTGCATATTATTTTCTTTATGTTCGTATAGCAAACTACATTAGTATAAATACAATAAAAAATAACTTTAGAGTAGCGGCTTCCAAATGGTTTAAATTAAATTCATAGTAGAAATTGCTTTAGATCATTAACTACGAAACTACTTCAACACAATTAGTATCACCAGTTCAAACACCTAAAATAAATTAACAATAATACAATACGGGGACGTTAAATTTTCCACGAGTACTAAAGTCACTAAAAAGTTTAGTTGCCCAAAACTTTCCTAACACAAACTTTGCTTGAAATTCACGAGCTCTCTTCAATTAACGCGTAAACCGTGAACCGAAACTCCGACTGAATCTAATATATTTGCCTGATAAACCGACATTTCTTGTTTAATGCATCCCCTGAGCCCAAAAACTTTAAACGTTCCACTTAAAGCCCCACAACTTAATTGCCTACACCTGCAAAGTAATTTTCACTGGTACAGTCCCGAAGATAAATACAATTTGAATAGCTTTTAAAGTTATACAGAAAATACTGTAAGTGAACACGCATGCAACAACATTAATTAAAGGGCTCCCAAATCTTCGGTTATCGCACTTCCGCCGCCACAATTAAAATGCAAGGGGAAACTTCGGTATTAGCGTTTTATTTACCATGTTTTATTCACCCACGGACTTGTTAAGCCACCCGATGGAATAGGCAAACAACGAGACATTCTGCGTGATATTGTATTGAGAAAAAATATATTCGGAGAAACATTTCGCTTTGGCGGTCTTCGTGTTATTTGTATCTTTAAATTCACAATTTGAATTTTCTGTATTTACTTTTTTAGCTAAATTCTTCTTAACTCTTTATTTACATAAACAAAACCCTTGAAGAGTTTTTACAACTGTTTTTGCGCGCCGACGTTAATTTGTTCGCAGACAGCCCCCCTCGATTTAGAATCGACGAACTCGTAATGAACAGATTCATTTCAGATATAGATTAATCACAAAGTGAGTCTATCCTTCATAAATATTGAAAGCATTCCCCAACGCTGGACGTCTCATTAAAATTTTAAACAAAAACATCAAATCCTCAAACCGCAGAATTTAATACTTTATAGTAGGAAGGAGTTATCTTGATGCTTTATAAAAATGTTTATATTTTTTGTTTGCAGTAAGCCTGAAAAGTACATTGAGACGTCGGAGCATGGTTTGCTGATTATTTCGGTGAACGAAGCTGATGCAGGAAGATACGATTGCTGGTTGGGAGGATCTCTGCTATGCTCCTACAATATCACTGTAGATACTCATAGGTATGTATTTAAACACTACTTAGGAAATTCATTACTTTTTCTGTTACGTAATATCAGTTCTAAAAATAATATCTTTCTGTTCCAGGTGTTCTCCCCCAGAAAAGAGCAATGAGTACCAGAAAATTTATTCGAATTGGTGTCATGAATTCGAAAAATATAAAACCGCAATGAAAACTTGGGAACGAAAGCAAGAGGTGACTGTTTAATTCATCCGAATATTAATTTGATCAGATTTGAAAACCATGGACTGATATACTAATGAATTTATTTTCTTTTTCAGCAATGCTCAAGACAAAATGACTCGAATCAGAACACACATCCAAACGAAATCGTGTGATAGCTTCTGAACATCGCCTATCTCATGTTTCAGTCTGTTAATTATTATGCAGGAGCTATACCGATACCTTACGTCTCGGCTGGCCTGAAGTACTTCAATATATTCTCGTGAGGAAATCCGTCAATATCATCCGCTCCATTACGATCTCATAGTGTCTCCATAGTTGTGTACGTCGAGCTCAAGACTTAGTGCATTCGACCGTACGTGACTCCCTATAGCTTTTATAAAGACGTATTGAAAGTGTAGTGAAACTGACTAAATTATCGCAATAGTGCATCGTTCCAAACACTCGGCGGGAACATGAATAGGTGATTATTGGACACTCGAAATTTTTACGAACATTTTTATTAATGAAAATTTAAAGGAACGAATATAAAGAGCGTTGTGCGTTGCATTGTTGGTAAATGGAATGTAAAATATTTAGTAATCGAAATTATAAGTACGCTTTGTTCGTTGGCTAAGTGATAGAACAATTGTTAGAATTATGGGATGGTAATACTTTGAATGTTTGTAGATTTTATTTAAATTCTGTTTAGATTTTAATTTTGCATCAATTATTGTATTTTGAATCCTGTATGTTTATTTAAATGTGAAGCGAACAAATAATTATTCTTGATGTTAAAAGTTTTGTAAATTGATCAATAATGATTATTTGTTGTAAGCTACCGACTCGAATACAAAGATTGCCGTGTGTTGGTATACCGCGGTCGTAATTTGAAATCTCCGAGGGTTGTGGGAGGGTTCGCCTCATTATTTTTCCCCTGTTTGTGTAAATAGTTACCTAATTTCGTTTGACTGTATCTATTATAAGTGTACGTATAGTATGCACGTCCCTAATGGTAATGAGTATAATTTAAGCCTGTGATATATAAGAAACTCGTTTAGGAAAAATATTTTTAAGTATTGATCGTGGACTTACTAAGACTAAAATTGTCACTGATTAATATAGCTGCAACATTTATTTTTTGTAAAAACACAAATAGATCTATAGTATGTGTTTACTAAACATATTTTAATTAGCCGTATCTTACAAAGTTGTGAAACTATGTATTCTGATACCTACTTGTATATCTGCACAACCTAATATCTCATTTATGATCACAGCAATATATTAGAAAGTAATACATCGACTACTAAAACTCTCATAAAACTGACTAAATACTCTTTTAAAATAAAATAAATATTTAATTTTAAAAACCAAAAGAGTAAAGATACTTTTACTTCTAAAAAATAAATCAATCTGAAATGTTTAAACCAATCTCTGTACACAAATAATTGAAATGCTAAAAATACAACAGTTTTATGAGAGTTAAAAATGTAATTTAAACTTTATAAGTAAATATATAGAACACAAAGTAGAACATTTAAGACATTTTAGAAAAGTATCTCTGAATATTTTTGTACAAAACTTCTGTATAACCCATTTTAGCTCACTTTTCAAGTATCGACTAGTACCTAATCAATTTATTCGATTCCATATCATACAATTGTACCTAAGAGCTTGTACATATATTCATTATCGCACCAAAATATTTACATTCGCAGCGGTCAAATATAAAAAGTATCAAAATTATATGAGTCCTCTATATATTTTTTCTAAACATTTTTTCGAGTAACGCCATTTAATATCCGCTGCCAGAATTTTGTAAAATACTAAGTTTAATTTATTATAGCACTTATGCATCTGAATTTAGAGTACTATTTATTTCTTCAATAGAACGTTTTAATAGTATATTGACTAGAATTACTTTTTAAAACAATTTTATCAACAATACTGTAGCATACATCGTTACTTCAAATTATGTGTTTGTCATCTCTTTACATAAATTGTACTTAAGGGTATTAATTTAATTCTATTGCTCATTATGGTACCTATCTAGATATTAAAATAAATTTCATTTTGTTGTATGTATTGTAGAAAAGTGATAAAATTATTGTGACCGTTATTACAATGAGCCCTTCGCTATAACTGCTAAAGTAGTAATAAAGTATAGCCTAATAGGTGCTTATAAGCTTTCGTTTTGCAAATATTATATAAAAGTATTTTTCAGACTTCTCTCATATCATAATGTACATACATAAATCGAAATAGATTATAAATTCGTAAGAAATATCTGAGCTTCGTCGTTTATTGTATTAGTTAAGACTCAGTACTTAAGTATTCTAGTGAATAAACTAAGGATTTCCCTCCTCTTGGGAATATCTTGCGCAATAATTATAACTAATTACTATTATCTATACTTATGTAATAGCTCTGTAAATTTCACATGTTACTAAACTAAGTTAAAAAATTCAAAATGTAGCGTTAAGATTTTATATAATAAATCTATGAAATGTATCTTTCAGTTTGTTGGTGTTTCATTTGGTACAACCCTATTCGTGTTATTGTTTGTTGTTGTAGAGCTATCATAGAAACACTGAGGAGAAAATGCTTAAAATAGTGTCGATTCATCAAGTCGCATACCGGGTTGACATTTTCGTCATAACAGACCGGTCCGGGGGCCGGCACCCTCGAGCAACGACCGAGGGACTATAAAAAGTGAGGGCGCGTAATTATATAGTGCCACTAAACTAATTTCACGATACATTGCCGACGAAATCTGTGCTTGGCACCGCCTCGCCTGACGACGAAATGTGATTTTTCTTTCATAACCAAACGCCTGATTACTATAGTTATGTGTTATTTCATATGAATTGCTAATGTTGGTGGCAACGTGTTTACGATACAATTGGCCCTCATATTAATAAGCTGATGAAGGGACTCATTGTTTTGACCTTCGGCTTTTCAAGGTTTCGTAGCGTGCTTCGGGTGTGGGTAGTCGTTTTGATAATTATTGCTTTTTAGCGACATGCCAAATCGTGTTTAATAATGTGATACTGTAATGTGTACCTACAGGAATTTACACCTTATCGACGATGATATAGGGATCGTTAAACCTTGAATTATTTTCTCATTAGCGCTCAGTGTTTAGGTATAGTATCATTTTAGCGTTTGTATCGTTACACCTGCTTATTTTCTACTGATATTATAAAGTAATTAGGTGTAGTTGGTTCTAAAATATCGTTTATTTTGAATAACATACTGGCATGCAGTAACAAAATTATTATTAAATAACCCTAGACTGTTTTTATATTTTACGAAAAAAAAACTATATTTTTGTTTTCAAATATAGCAGTTATTGTATGGTGTAATTACTGCAGACTGTCTAGACTAGACAACCCTCAGTGAGCAGACTATTTACCGATTCGAAATCAGCAAATGCGCTCACCCTTATACCAATTAGCAATCCCACAGTTGGTCGGTAATACCACGAACTGTACCTATAAGTAGTTATAGCAAAAAGGTTTCTGATTAATTGGTCGTAGAATGCAACTTGTTTACACATTAATTTGTGCAGCAAAATCGACATTGATGATTGAATTGAAAGACTTTTAAAACAAAAAGGGACTTTTAGCTCAATCCTGTAAGTAAAACTGTAAGTATACTCTTACTTTAACCTCATTATGAGAACATTTATTTTTAAAACTTTTTACTATTATACCATACTACAACCTTAAAAATAAATCCACTCTATGCAAAACAAAACAAATTAGTTGTACAAACTAGTGATCAGTATAGCCCAGCTTAGAACACAAGGGGCTTAGCTGAAGCACATGCTATGCGAGAAGCAAGTTGTGACAAGTTGGTGCTTCGTCTCAGGAACTGAACTACGGATTAGATTGTAGATTGCGCCATAAACCTACGTGGTGGGGAACTAACAGATTTATCAACTGTTGTATAATTTGTGCTCTATGGTGGAACGCGGAGTTATAGCTTTGGGTTGTGCATTTTTTATTCTTGTTTAGATTTAAAGTTAGATATTGTTCGTGTTGTTGTTTTAATAGCAATTAGTTTCTATAATGACTGCCTCGTTGGCCGAGTGGTCGCAAGTGCGACTACCGGGCAAGGGGTTTCGGGTTCGATTCCCGGGTCGGGCAAAGTATTACTAGGTTTTTCAAATAATCTCAGTAGTAGCACGTATTCTAGAATTGTGCCCGGTATATGGCAATAGGGTCACCCATTATTACATGGGACTCATACCATAAATAGTGAGAATTGGGTGTTACATTGTACTGTGGCCTAAAGTGCCGTAATATGCACCTTTGCCAATCCCTTCGGGGATAAAAGACGTGATGTTAGGTTATGTGTAGTATACATATATAATTTCGCTCATTGGTGCTGATGGTGATTATAGTCAAATTGTTTTTCTTTCTGCGCATGATGCGTTTGCTGTTTAATTAAAAGCCAAGGCCTAATTTAAAAAACACTGAACATTATACCTTTTCTACTCTCACTCTGTTGAACTGGATTTTCTATAGAGTCCCAACACACAAATAAGGACATTGCGTCCATGACTTTACATTTTCCTCTTTCATTTTAATCAGGCCCTTTTTTAACGGGAAAATATAATAAGTAATAAATTACATACATCAAAAACAAACAACGAAAGCTCAATTAAAACATCCGGAACAGCGTCGCTAAATTAATTATGACCATGGAATAAAGTCGCAAAAAACATTTTTTAAAAGGGTGGGTTCCGAAGCATTGCTGCATAAAAACCGTGTCTTCAATAGCATCATTGAAGCATGTAACGTTTCATTTCACGGTGCGGCCGCCGCGTGCTTGCGGAATTCGTCTCCATTAAATAATTACGCACGGCGTAAAACGGAGAGAAATTATTAATAGAGGGACGTTTAAGATGGATGGGCGTGTGCCCTATTGCAAGGAACTGGTTACTAGTTGGTGATGCTTAATAAAATCATTTTGGCGCAAAATGTTCTTTATAAGAGCCTCCATCCCCCAAAAAGACTCCAAGAAAAATGTATAATGACCAAAATAAGATTTGCATTCAGAAATTATCGTTTTCAGTTTGCCAATCGCCGAAATGTAACTATTTTCAACTCATATCATGTGTTGATTGTAACTATTTCATTTTGACTTTTATTCATTACCTAATTCGAATTCGATTATATGTTAATTTTGATTACAAGATATTTGATGATAAAACATCAACTTTATTTTTAACTCGTTGAGTACCGTCGTTATAGACACAGGTTGCGGTCACCGGTGACCGCTCGGTGTTTGACAGTTAAATGTTTACTTCATTTTATCAAATATCCAAGGTCCATAAATGTAACTTAGCTTTAAGCGTATTAGCACCTTATTCACTTTATGGTATGCAAATAAATGAATATGAAAAACACCATAAAGAAATTTATCAATACAACCTAACCTAAAATATTCGTGATTTTATTTTAATACAATGACTATATCTGTATAGTAACAGTAATGCAGATAACGATTAACATTAATAACAAACTAGAAACTATTTACAACTTAAAATACACAAAAATTTAATAAAAGAAAACAAAAAATAACTATTTATACGGAGCATCAAAACATTCGTCCGCATCGATGACGATAGGGATAAACATACATATATCCTAATCTTAGTTAATATTTCAACCGTGGCATTGATATAGTCGTCTAAAATGTGGATAGAAACTTAAGAGTAAGTTTGAATAACTAAGACATAAGACGATGTCCAAGCTTCACCCGAACCCTCTGTGTATCTAGAGATGGTCTCACGAAAACGCAGCGAGGTCAGGCGGCTAATCCGTTATTACATCGGCACGGGATGGGCCGCGGTGTCCCACTCTCGTAAGCGCATTAGTCGAATTAACAATTAGTCATGCCTACGTCTGCTCGGCAAGTTTGCACAAATTTACATAACAATAAAGCCCTTCGTAAGCCCAACGTTTGTTATGGCGATTTTTAAATTAATTGGATCGAGCACCGTGGAAAATTTGTGGGCTTTGCTCCCTCCGCGGGTCAGTGCAGTACTGTAACACTATGTGTACTTGTATACGCAGCCGGACAATCCGATTTTTATCTTATAGATATAGATAGCGTTTTTGTAATTAAAACTGGATGTAAAGGGTTGCATTTGCACAGATGCATACATATTGTGCAGTGCAATTTAGAGCAGTGATTGAAGATAAGGACAGACATTTGAATTGAGTTGCTTTTGAATTGGAGAAATAGTGCGATGCCATTTAAGATTTCTTAAATAAATCACACTAATCAACTTAATTGAGTTTTATGACACTGTAAATGACTGTATAAGTTTGTTATTTTGCTGATTCTACTGCATTGGAGCAATTACTGAAACACGTTGTAAACAGCACGTTCATTATACATTATTTGCAATTGACGTCATTAAAACAATCGGTGTTATCGAAACATAATCTCATTATTAACTTATTGTGACAGCGTTATGACGGCCTCCGTTCATTGGACCGACGACAGATACGCTCGCGTCCCACGAATCAAATGGGCAACGATAAAAGCACGAAACTAAATCGAGCCCGGAATAAGCAAGAACAATGGCGGGCCTAAATTGTAGCATTGTGTACGAACAGTAGCCGACACGTTCGCGAAGAATAGAGTCATTTGCCTCTAACAACATTAATGCCAGCCTGACCCTCATACCGTCAGTTTTTGTTTGTTAATCTACAGAAAAGGGCGTAACTCATTTTGTCAACTCGTAATTTAATTTCACTTGAACCCCAACAACTCAACGGTAGGCGGCACAGGACATGGGCAACAGCAATTTATGTTGTTAATTTATTGTCAGTCTATGTAACGATTTTAGAATTACTACTAAATATTGATATCAAAATTATTCAAGTTGAACAATATAATATTGCTTTGCCTACAGGCATAACATCCAGAATACCACTACACCACAGCGGCGTATTTTATAATAGGTACGCTATAAATTTCCAAAATAACAATACGCAATACGTGCAGTCCCATCGTTATCCTGAAAGTTTAATGTCCCTATACAAACCCGCCGTCATTCCGGCCAAAGGTGACGGTCGCTTTTAGAAATGCTTAAAATGCAATTTTACGTGAGCACTTTTATTTATGGCCCCCAAAAATGTAAAATGCAAACGTTTTATTGCCAGGCTTTGTAAAAATACGAAGAACAAACAATGTTCCCGGTATCCCAAGACGAGGGGACGTCGAACCATATTTTTGTCCTTACTGACGATGCAGCAAAACATCTTAAGTAGGTGAACGCAGGTAAACAAGGGCTTACTTTAACGTTTTTGATCACTTTATGGAACTCCTACAAAAGATCCTATGAAAACACATTATAAGATTTATTAGCATAATTGCATCAAGAGAATGTAAACAGTGATGATTTTAAAGTCTACGAACAGACCCTTTGAAATGAATTGAAGATTCAAATGAGCGATAAATTTGATTACTCTTCTCTACAAAGAGATTTA